AATGCTTCTTGGTGCAAAAAGATTGAACCGTCCTTCAACTGTTCAACTTGTAGACCAAGAAAACAATTTAACGTTGTCACTCTAAGGTTAAAATGTTGCTTGAGTTCGTTCATAAAGGTGAGGAATGATGCTTCGTCTTGTACAGCAACAATACCATCATCGACATAAATCGCCATCAGCATCTTGTGTCCCGAATCTTTACGAGTGAAGAGGCAGTGGTCAGATTTGCTTTGGGTCATACCATGCTTCTTTAGCACGTCCGTAAACTTGGCATTCCAACATCGACCAGCTTGTTTAAGACCGTACAAAGGTCGGAGCATCTTGCATATACGTCCGCTTCCGTCATCATATCCTTCGGGTTGATACATGTATATATCCTCAGTCAAATCACCATAAAGGAAAGCTGTCTCCACGTCAATTTGAAATAATTTTAATTTCTCCTTAGCTGCTGTTGCAATTAGAGCTCGAATAGTGTCGTAGCGACACACTGGACTAAAAGTCTCCCCGTAGTCGATATCTTTCGTCTGCGTATATCCTTTCGCGACTAATCGAGCCTTAAATCTTTCGATAGAGCCGTCTGGGTTAGTCTTCACTTTGTAAACCCAGCGATTTGCAAGAATCTTTCTTCCTTCAGGTGGTTCAACAAGTTTCCACGTACCGTGCTTGTTTTGCGAAGACATCTCTTCGTCCATGGCTCGTTTCCAGTTGACATGCATCGAAGACTTCATTGCTTCTGCATATGATTGGGGTTCTGTCAAGTTCAGGATGCTGCTGTAGACTTCATAGTCGTTAAATCTGGGAGGGCGGCGAATAGTTGATCGGCCACGCAATCCATGCGTCGTCATCTGGGATGGTTCGACTTCTACATTGCACAGATCCTCCTCCTCCTCCTGCATGTCAGTACCGTCGGAACTGCCCGAAATTTTAAACTGCGTACCAGTTGATGTACTGGCACTAGAAGTAGTTTCTGAAGATAGGGAAGTGGGACCTATCTGCTGCTCGTTGAACACCACATTGGCGCTCTTGATTGTGTCATTCTTTGATGGTATGAAAACACGATAGCCATCATAATCACAATATCCAACCAAATATCCCTTTACAGCCTTGTCGTCCAGATTACTTCTGTTGACATCCGGTACATGTACAAAAGCAGTTGATCCGAAAATTCGAAACTTGTCGACTTTCGGCTTGCTTCCGAACCATACTTCGAATGGAGATTTTCCTGTGATTTTACTTGCTCCAGTTCGATTAAGAATGTGGACAGCCGTCGATGCTGCTTCTGCCCATAAAAACTGTGGTAGGCCTGTATCCTTGAGCATAGTACGAACTGAGTCCATTATTGTGCGGTTTTCTCTTTCAACTGCACCATTTTGTTCTGGCGTGTACGGCATAGTGATTCTTAACTTGATGCCTTCATCATCAGTCAGTTTTGTCATCTAAGCATGTCGAACTCACGACCGCCGTCTGTAACCAATTATTTCACATTTATGCCGTCCTCATTAGCCCGAGCAAGAGACGATTTAACTTTATCTACAGTTTCATCTTTGTGTCTCAGAAATTCTACACTTCGAAACTTGGAATAATCATCTCTGATCACTAGCATGTACTTCTTTCCACCTCTTGACAAAACTGGTGATTCGAGTAAATCTGCATGTATGATTTCACCTGACTCCTTCGTTTCAAGTCGTTTTGATTTGAGAGTCCGTCGGCACTGTTTACCGTACCTGCAAGGTTCACAAAAGAGTCCATCATCGGTGAAGTCTATACCATTTCAACGTAGGTACTGTTTCACATGCTGCACTCCCTGATGCCCGAGTCTCCTGTGCCAAACTGATAGTGGCATCTTTGTCGTTGTCATCATTGTTGTATCTGGGAAAGGTGTTGTTACGTCATCGTCGACTAGGTAAGCTGAAGAAGCAGAACCTCCTTCCGGCTTGACCGGTTTTGCACGTAATTCAAAAAGTCCCCTTGATGAACATGGAGCTTCTAAAAGTATATTTTCCTGGTTTTCTTTACGAAAGAAACGACAAACCATGTCATCCGAATCTCCGAGGTTTGAGATTCCTCTTTTCATCGCCTTTGACGCTGATAGTAAATTTTTGCTGATGTCTGGTGCATATAATACATCACTGAGCTTAATAGACTTTTGAAGGGTTCCAACAGTTGCGCACATGTCAATTTCTCCGCAGCCATAAGCTGGTATTGTCTGCTTGTTACCAACTACGATTTCTACTGGCTTGTCAAAATGACGATACGTCTTGAAATATTCAACTGAATTTGTGATGTGTGCCGTAACTCCATCGTCTTTGAGCCACATACTTCGGCAACTGTCATCCTGGCAAATAAATGCGCTACAATGAGTTGATTTGGTTGATACAGATTTGACGGTTTTTAAGTGCCGCCAATCTAGACTTAAACTTTTTGCGACAAATCATAAAATAAAACACTTTATTTTAAATAAAGTAGTCAGTCGGATTTCGGTGGAAAATGAGCCGATATAGAGTTTAGCATAGATTCAAAACAATCATATCGCCATATGAACTCTGATAAATAAGATTCCAAATGAAATAACATTTCCAAAATGTACGTTTACCAAGATAAAGTTTCATGTTGTGGAAATTGGTACATTTTTGTTTTTTCGGTAAAATATTTCCCTCCTGAAAAAATAAAATTGCATCTTGTTTTGTTTTTGGCAAATCCCAAAGACGAATTTTCGTAGCACTAAAAATGGCGACAAAAAAGAATTGTTTTTTTGTTTTTGTTTCGTCAGCATTCTTTATTTTACGTTTCTTAGTTTCTAAATAATGATTTTTATTGAAACTTGAAATTTTTTGATAAAAATTGTTGTCAAAAAACGTTGTTTACAAAATTAAATTTCATAAAATTATGAGGCTTATGTATACTTTTTGTTCATTTTAATTTTTGAACTAATATGATTCTTAAAACTATAGAATGTAAAGTTTAAATGGGCCTTTCATGTTATATCATTAAATTTAGTAATACTATTTCTCGGGCATTAGGTTTTAACTCTTATAAGAATATTTTCTTAAATGTCAGGCTGTGTACAAATATTTTTCCGATGTGTTTTGGATATTCCTTCTCTAATAAAAAGAGATAACATTTTGTTTTTGTTTGCATGAGAAAGAATACCAAATAGTTTTCTTTTTTAAATTTAATTAGCCACAATAAAGAAGGAACGTTGCAATGCTACGTGCTACATTAAAGACGTCTCTAGAATAACTGAATCACAATTCATATGGAAATCGCAGGTATCCGTCTCATACAACAACGCCCCCTATAGTTCGTTGCGATCGCGAATTCAAATTGCACGCTTTTATTAATTATTTATATTTAGTATGCAATTTTAGGTTAGCACAATTAAATATAGTTTTTGAAGGTTTCATTGCTGACAGTTGTCATTTGAAAACTATTAGTAGATTGTTTATTATTACAAAATTTTTGAATTCGCATTCATTTTATTTCTTTCATTTAAAAAATAGATTTTTGTTTTAGATTTTATCATTATTATATTTCTTATTTAATTTATTTCATTTTCATTGCTTTTTTATTATTTAAAATAAATATGTGAATTTTCGATTTAGCAAATTTGCGACCACTGTCAACTTTTACATTTCTTTTTGTTTGAAAGAGAATATTTGCAAACATATGCCGCCTAAACGAATCGCTCTTAGTCGATCAACATCTCAAGCAAGCAAAAAGAGAACTACCCGCGTTTTAAAAACATCGGAGCAACGGGAAAAGAGATTTAAGACTAATCGAGAGCACAGTTCTTTAGCCCGTTCCTTAGAAACGCCTGAGCAACAGGAAAGAAGACTGTTAACGAATAAACTACGCACTACTCAAGCCCGTTCGTTGGAAACATCAGAGCAACGGGAAGCAAGAATAAAATCCGATCGAGAACGCTCTACTCAAGCCCGTTCGTCGGAAATATCAGAGCAACGGGATGCAAGAATGAAAATCAATCAAGAACGCACTTCGCTATTCAGACGCTGCCAATACTTTTGAATCTCAGTGCATTTCACTATGATCTGACAACCAACTATATTCTTTCACCCAAGCGTCATCATCGGAAAAATGGATCAATTATGTATGTTTTGTAGTGCTGTCAAATTTAAGAATGAAACAGCTGGAATTTGCTGTTCTGGAGGCAAAGTGAAACTACCAGATTTAACGTCGCCAGCCGAGCCATTATTAATGTTGTTATCGGCTCAATCAAATCAATAGAAACTTTTTTTGGCGAACATATGTCGGTACATTCGTGTTTCCAAATGACTTCATTCGGTGCTACAAGTATCGGTGCGCATATGGGCAGCCAGAGTTATTTTTTACATTCACATGCAATCTTGCTTGAGCTAAATTTAAAGAGCTTTTCTAACCTAGGCAAACATCATCGGATCTTCATGACGCATTACCGCACGTGAGTTAAAACAAATATTAAGCTCTATACTTGGGGTTTTATTGCGAAGCGTCATGTTTTTGGAGAGACACGGTGTTTGATGTATTCTATTGAATGCAAAAAAAAAGAGAATTGCCACATGATTTGGCTTACTGAGAAAATCACACCATGACAAATTGATCAGGACATATCAGCAGAAATACGTGATGTCGCCATTGATCAAGACTTTTTGCAGAACATCATCCAAAATATGTTCCATGGTCCGTGTGCATCACCATACATGTCTGTTTGAAAATGCACTAACGATATCCTAGAGAATTAACTGTTGAGACTATAAAATTCTCATTTCAAATCATCCTCGCAAATCTCATTTATACACTTCAATACAAAATTAAAACTCAAACTGAAAGCGTTGCAACGCACGCAGGGTACAGCTAGTTAATTATAACAACAAATAGTAAGTATCAACAGTACAAAAGTTAGAAGTTGGGGTGGGGGGGCATTTTTAACATTCTGGAACTGTCAGAAAAGTTATTGTTTTATTTGATATAGCCGTACCTTATCATTTTCTTCTTCACTTTCTTCCTCACTTGATTCTTCGCTGGATTCTTCTTCGCTACTCTCCTCTTTGTCGGGCTCTTTCACTTGAATAACGGTTGCAGATCTCTGTAGATTTTTGTCAATTTCTTTATCTTTCTCCTCGTCCTCCTCCTCGTCTTCCTCCTCTTCCTCCTCCTCCTCCTCTTCTTCGCTGGATGATGAGGAGGATTCTGATTTCAACTTCTGCACAGGCTCTGGAGATTTATCAGTCTCGGATGGGTCGTTAATTGGAACAACAGGAGTCAAAAGATCTCTCTCATCTGTTGAAGAAAGGAGACGGACATTATTCGAGTTGAGACACAGTTTTTTTCTTATTTCGTTCCTTAGATCCTTTTTTTTTTATTTATCTACTAAAAGGGAATGTCTACAATTTACAAATTTTATACGATAATTTTAGATTATTTTTTGTTAAAAGGGACCGTCTATAAATTGCAAATTTTTCACGACAATTTTAGATTTTTTGCTAAAAGGGATTATATCTAAATTGCCTTTTTACAATAAATTTAGACTGTCAAAAGAGACTGTCAAAAAATTAAATTTTTTACAGATTATTTTAGAATATTTTTAGCTAAAAGGAACAGCCTATAAATTACAAATTTTGTAAGGTAGTTTCAGATTCACCCCTCTCACTGCTTTGAGTGTGATCATTCCCTTGTTTCTATATGTACTTTTAAATTAGTTTATTTAAAAGTTATATTTTTAAACTTTTTATAAAAATTTTGCACTTTTTTAAAATTTTACTTATTGATGTACCATGCAAATATTGTATACAAAAATGCTTAGAAATAGTCCAAAAGTTATCTTTTTAAACCAAAAATTTTAAAAATGTCATGTTTTTAAAATTTGATTTAATTGAAAAACTTTGATTGAACATTACAATTTTTTGATTTATTTTGAATAAAAATTTTTAGATTTTCATTTGTGGTCAGGAGTTTTCGAAATGCTTATAAAATTTCTGAAATTCTGAAATTTGTAAATTTTTTTAATGTTTTTTTTTTGACAAATTTAAAATAATGCTTAAAATGATCCGCGAATTTCCTGAAGGCAAATTAAATAGAAACATCTAAAATACATGCATCCAAATTTCCCAAAATTACTTATTTTTATTAATTTGAGACATAAATTCTAATATTCCTTATATCAAGTTCTTTTTAAAATTGCAAGAAATATGAAAAATGTTTATGGGGAAATTAGCCTTCTAAATTTCATTATCATTTTAAGTTCAATATCTAAAGCAAATCACGCTTTATTTCATGTTATAACTGATATCAAGCTATTTTGAAGATAGTTCAGTAAATTTTTATTATTTTTTTAATAAAAAAGAGGCCGTTTAAATATTATATAAGCCCCTAAGGGGAGGATGGGATTTGAGATTTGCTTATTTTTCCAGACAAGACTGAAGGAGTGATCTGAGCAACGCTCACGTAAAACACTAAAATTTCATCATTTTCCAAAAACATTTCGACTGTTAAAAAAATTTAACAAGAAATTTAAAGAAGAAAAAGAACATTTCGAAATAAAAGTTAATTTTTATAGTTTGTTCTCTTAGATAAAAACCTAAAACAGGGATCATTTTCTAACAGAGCATCTGAAAATTACCTAGCCTAAGTGTTCACATCAGAATTAAAATTTTAAAAGATTCGTTCTAAATATACTTACTTAAATTTATTAAAATGATTCATTAGTCGCAAACAAGATAAAGTACAGTTTTTCATATTATTATTACTTTTAAATTTTTGCAGTTTTGGAGGGGAAAACAAAACTTTCTTCAAGGAGTTTCGGAGGTCAAAAGTGCAAAAGGAAAGGATTTCAAAAGAAGATTCAATTCTTTTAAATGATTTAAAACAAAAATTTTTGTTTTTCTTATATAAGGTTACGTCTTTTATTTAAATTTAATCCTAAAATAAGACTTCTACAGTTAAAGTAAACGTCAATGTTAAAACAAGGAGAGTTACAACTTTCCTATGTATGTAAGAGACGGGAGTTAATTTGTGATTTTCTAAATAGCGTTGATAAGTGGAGAGGTCAGAAATTTTCGATAATGTATTTTTAACTTTTCTAGCAACAAATACGTTGCAATATTTAAGATTTTTTTTTGATCCCCCTGTTATGGAAAATGTAAGGGACTACTTTTGGTCATAGGAAATGATATGGATGAATTAAAAAGTAACAAACAATTATTTTAGACAATTATTTATGCAGAATTAAACATGCTTTATTTCAGACCAATTTTTAATGGCCAACTTTAGTGCATCGAATCTCAGAAATCACTCAATGAGTTTTTTAAATAATTTGTTTTTCCCATTATGTTATGGAGTACATTTTATGCGAGGATCTTCTGAAACTTTATAATAATTATAATAATTTACTTTTATAATAATTATAATAATTAAAAATCTAAGAAATAAATTAGAATAACTTTAAAAATTGGAAATAAAACAGCATTATTATTGGAAGTTATAAAATTATATTTAAGCAAGAGAATATGCTTAGAAAAACAGATAAATTAAACAGATTCGCACTCTATTCACTATCTAGGTGGCAATAAATATAACCGAGCAGTAGTGACGCACGTAATAGGCAACGCTCCACCACAAAGTGATCCCGACAGATTTTCCTGAGCTATGGCGATAAAGTCAATGACCAATATCATTTAGAAATGTTAATAAAGCTTGGCAGAAGAGCTAATAAAGAAGATTTAGTCGAATGTTCCTTTGTGAACTTTCTAAAGCGATTATCTACTTTCACGACAATAGATCTCACATTACTAAAAAAAAAACACAAAAATTCAAATAGAAAGTCCCGAACCTCTCACTCTATAGCCTAGATTTGTCTTCTTATGGATTCCACTTCTTCGATGCCCTTAAAAAGCAGCTCGGGAACATTGATTTTAAACGGATCATGAATTCAAGGTATGCGTGCGCAAAGGGCACAAACAGCAGCCAATGGCTTTTTAACGAACATAGCGAGATGCAACTAGATTCAGAATGGAACAAATATTTAAATGATTGAGACAATGCGTTTAAATTTCTTTAAATAAATTGGTACTGACGATAGCTCAGTTTGTTAGTCTTTACTTTAAATAAAGTACTACACAAGAATCCCAAACTCTGAAGATTATTTAATTCCTGAAAGCCAGAATATTTGCTCCTCTTTGCGACTGCAGAACGCACACTTACTTTGAGCATTTTTTTATTCATAGATGGAGCTTCAAACGTCAACATACGTAATAGCCTCTGATTTGTTATTTAATGACGATACCTAATTTATCGTATTGCTGTAATATTCTAAGCTTATTCTGTATTTCTCTATATTACAATTTGATTGTTTTACCTTCCTCTGAGCTGCTGGACTCCTCAGAGCTACTACTTTTTTTCTTCTGGGAGGATTTTGGTTTCAAAAAATCCGCAATGTTCACAGAAACGGCAACATTTCTACCAGAATCCACTCTTTCTAGAGGGGGTGGGGTCTTGGGACAGGGGAACGAAAGGTGTACAACCTCTCCGGGAGAAGTCAAGTCTGAAGACTCACTACTGGGTACTTTCATGAGTTTCTGTACTGGTTCCTCGTCTTCCTTGTCCTCACTCTCTCCATTTTCTATCGGTGGGTGAACGATCAATGAGGGGGCTTCTTCTTTGGTGCTCAGTTGATCATCTGTATTCTCCTTTGAGCTGCGAGTGCTTTTCCATCTTTGCCTAGTGCGGTTCCTATAGAGTAAAAGAATCTTTTGAAAGAATTTAAAGTGGGACACAGGTGTTGCTAAAAGAGGTTAAACAGCATTGCATTTTGAATCATAATGATGTGCAAAGTTTCTGCAACCTTGCGCCAGGGGGAAGAATATTCCCTATGCAAGTTACACTTGATTGCACTATGCATGAATGGGAACTAAACTTCTTATTAGAGTTGAAATGAATGAATGCGAATTTACGGTGAAAAATACCTACATTATCATTCAAACTTATAATCCACCTTTCTCATAGTGTGTGAAATTTTAAAGCATTGTAAAGTGCCCAGTTGAGCAACATTATTGCACTTTTTAAACCGAATAACATAACACTGTAGTTCAAATTAAACAAAAATCTGGCTCAAATTATTTCACGATACTGATTTAATAATTTACTTATAAGTGGACTGTCAGAAAATAACAGTTATATTTCGAACCATTTTGTTGCAATGTGAAATAGATGGTCTGCCCCTTTATAAAGATTTTAAGTCAAATTCTATAATTGTTTGATCAAATGTAAGAAGAAGAACAGTCTTTTAGGTATCACCAGAATGTATCAGTCTTAACTACAACGATTGATTATTTCAAAGAAATTTTTTTAAACTTACATATAATGTAGCATTTTCTTATTTACTTACCTGAAAAATATTTTGGAAATCAAGTTGAGATTAATTATTTGAGTATTTTGCTTGTAGTTTAGCAAATTAATGGACCGGATTCCAATTCCGGATATGAAGAATAGAGCATATAAATTTGAAATATGATTTACAGTTTTATATCAAAATGAGTTACATGTTGTCGTGCTTCTTTATGCATAACTTCAATTTATAAAATTTATTTCCCTCAGTTAATATTATTTGTAATAGTATTTCATTTAATGCCAATGATGAGGAATTTGAGTTTCTGGAGCCGTGGTGGCTTATGGAATAGAGCATTTTCCTTCCTGTGAGGTGAACCGAGCTCGAATCCCAGCGATGGCTGGTTGATACGAATTCCGCACCAGCTCACACCAACCACAGTGATAGACGGATCATGGGTTACAGTCCCCTTGTCGGCAGACTAACCTTGAGAGAATTTCGTGGTTTTCATCTCCAAATAACGCATGTGGGGGTTAGTTCCATCAAAAAGTTCTCCTCGAAGGCAAATTTCTTTCATTACTTGATCAAGGACTTCCCTTGTCTTATGCATTGGGTTCAAAATTACAAGGCTGTGAAGTTGAACATTAGTATATATATATAAGAATATTTGCTCCTCTTTGCGAC